AAGACAGTCTTACTGTTTCCACTTATCTCTCCTAAATAGTACTTTCAATGAGCAAAGATTTAAGTTAGGTAAAAAAGAGAACTAAAGCGATGCCAACACTTGAATTTTTGAACACTCCCTCAAAAAGGGACAGACATCTTCCTATAATGATATTTAACCACAAGACACACAGTCAGCTGCTGAGGGTGTCTGAAATTTGTCTGGAAGAATAAGATATTCTGAATTTTATGTCTTTTTAAACACTACTATAATGTTAATCAAGAAAATAGTGATATGGTGTGTGTGTGTGTGTGTGTGTGTGCGCGCGCGCGCGCGCGCGTATGCATATATATTCTACATCCCTTGCTGGCAATATTCTAGTTCCTTCCTGAAATCACGAGTAAGTCTTTCAGCCATGAAGAAAAAGAAAAAGAAAAAAAGAAAAAGAAAAAGAGATCATTTTCATACTATTGGGCTCAAATGATAGGCTTTTTTAAAAATGTGGCAGCATTCTAAATTGCTTTAAAGCATACTATTTTCAAACAGTATATGCTAAATTAACACACACAGAAGGAAAATAAAATGACAAAAAGAAACTAGGGTATCAGACTAAAGAACTCCTTCTAATTCATCCCACATGCTAAACTAATTTTAAGTCTTCTTTGTTCAAAAAAGAAAAAGAAAAATTATCTCAAATGCTGTCCTATAACCAAACCTATAGACCAAATTCTTTGGTCTGATACCAGAAGCTCCAGCATCCAGTAGCACCTAATACTTCAACAAAATCTCCTAAAATTCCTGTTCTCCAGCCAAATTGGCCTCTTTCATTCTCTTCCAACAAAATAATACAACCTGGAAAAGTTAGAAACCTCAGCACCACCACCAAGCACAAGATTTCCTTTTCCAACTATCAGAACAAGAGATAAGCATCCATTTCAAATTTCCCATCAAAACCAGTATCCAGATTTGGACTAGCAGTAGAGGTAGGGTTTAATAAACTCAATGCTGTCAAAAGGAATAGATACCTTTTTGAGCCAACAGTGAACAGTCACAATTCCTTCCTTTTCCTAAACCACTTTTATTTCATGTTATTTTACTTGTTTGGTCTATCTTTTATTACTCAAAAAAGCCTTGTTTTATTTAGCTAACACTGTGTTGATGTCTTCCACACTTTCCCACTATTCTCTGCTCCTCAATAAGGAGAACATGCTTGGTCCTATCATGGACATGCTTAGCACACAACCAGGACAGGCCCTGCTGACAACTGCATGGGAACTTTAGATCTCACAACATGCGCTCTCCATGTCTGCCTGGGCACAAGAACACATGGAGATTTTGGTGCTTTCTCACCCTTCTTGGTATAAAGGCAAATAATTTCATTACCAGGGGCTTAGGACAGCCTGGTTTTGTCAGAGGCTGTCAGGTAGGAAAGTCTGCAATGGTATGTCAAACACAGGACCATTCTGAGTGCTTCCCCAAGAAGGAAAACACCTGAAGCCAGTTTTATTTCTCTGGCCCTATGACCTGTTACCTAAGAGATGTGGAAATCTCAATCCTCTTTATCAATCTCATTACTAGTATGTCCCATCACTAAGCATTTTTTCTAGTAACAAGCCATCTACTCCCCATTGGAAAGAAGGAAGCCTGCCAACTTGGCAAAACCAAGTTACCTGCTCAGAAAGTCTGGCTTTTCCACATTAACCTGTAAGTAGTTCAGGCCCATTCTGCAGCAAACCACTGTTTTTCATTTTGCCACCACCCCCCGGCCCTTTTCTTAAGACAGAGTCTCACTATGTAGCAGTTCAGGCTGATCTCAAACTCGCAGTGATCCTCCTGCTTCAGCCTCCCAGTGCTACCACAACTGGCTCTACCCTGAATTCATTCTTAACCCTAAAGACTTATGAAGTAGGGTGACTTCAGGAGAGGCTTTGCCATCCATCCCCATTAGTGGGGATTAAACTCAGGGTCTTCATACTTAGCTACACCACTAGCCCATTTATGTATTTTCAGACAAGATCTGGCTAAGTCACAAAGTTGTTCGGGATGAGTCTGAAACTCTGACTCTTCTGCCTCAGCTTCCCAGAGCACTGACTGGGGCCTGGACTATACCATACATGCCAAGGCTTCTTTTTAAAGTCAGTTTTCAGGTCCCAACATGTTACTACTCTTCCACATATAGAGACAAAAAAAAATTTTTTTGTTTTAAATTAATCAGTGGACCCAGCTAGTCTCTTGCTGAGTATCTTCCCAAAAGAATTAAAAGAATCATACTTCAGGGACATATGAGCACCCATGTTTATAGTGGCACAGTTTGTAATAGCTAAAACTTTGAAACAGCCCAAGTGCACTGGAGAATGGACAAAGATGTGGTTTTTTAATAAAATGGAGTACTACTCAGCCATAAAGAATGAGAAACTGGTCATTTATAGCTAACTGGATGCACAGTGCGGCCATACTCTTAAATGAAACAAATAGGACACACATGTGTAAATACCATATAGTTTCTCTGGTGTGAGAAACAAAGTGTAAATACGAATCAAAATGTATAATAGATGATGTGAAATAGGAAGAAAGAAGTGGAAGGAGTAGGGGAAAGGAGAAAAGGAAAAAATGGAAACAAAGTCTTTGTAAATAGGGAGGGGTGGAGGGGTTAAAAGGAGGGCAGGGGAATGGGGAAAAAATAAGAGCCAAGATGGATCATATAAAGTTATAAATTCCCAGTGATGAATGTCATCATATTGTATACCTAAAAATGTACCAATAAACAATGAAAAAAAGTAATCAGTGGTTCTCATTAAGAATCCTTCTTCTGGTTGGCTACTAAAATTTTTAATTATGAATAGTACTAGGCTCATACAGCAGAGGTACAATATATTTGATCTAGCTGATAATGAACATATCCTGTAGGCTAAGATGCTTCCACAGGGAACTAGGTCTTAAATGTTCTAGCACAAAATTCAAAAATCATATTAAATATCCAGTAAACAGACTATTCTGCAGCTCCAGAGCCACAGGGTACAAGTCAACCAGCCCTTAGGTCTATTTTAAATTGAGAAGTATCTCCAGTGAGTCTGAACTACCAATGTGAATATGGAAAATGCATTCTACAGATCTAACTTTAAGCATGGCGAACTGTAAATGAAGTCTCCAAAAAATTCTAACATTGCATTTTGTCTGTGCCCCCAACTAGAACGTAAATTCTGAGGACAAGGCTAATGAATCCCCAAAGCATTTACTGTAATACCTTGTATTAAATTCAACTGATGGCCTGACTGATAGCAATCACACGGAAAATTATTTTTTTTACCGTATTAGGCACTGAACCCAGGGTCTTTACACTGAGCTACAACTCTTTATTTTTAATTTTGAGATAAGATCTCGCTCAGGTGCCCAGGCAGAACCAGAACTTGCCTTTCTCCTGCCTCAGCCTCCCTCAGAGGTGGGAGTAAAGGTGCAGGACAGCACAGGGTGTGCTCCTTGTTTTCAAAGTCAAATAGCAATACCAGTATCTAGAATGACCCACAGACTGGCCACTTACAAAGTGGACTGGCTAACGCTCCTGGGCTAATCTACTCACTTAATCTTGTTGGGCAAGAATGGTGAGATTTGGGCAAACATTTATAGACTGCTCATTAAATAGAGCAGTCTGCAGGACTCGCTTCGGCAGCACATGTTCTAGAGCCGTCTGCAAGGTTATCAAAGGCTGAGAATTAGAAAAAATTAAAACCAATTCATGTGCATAAAATTCGAACTCAAGATTAGCTTCATCCACAAGAAATTAGAAGCAGCTAAAAATCAAAATCAAGTACTCGACCAGCAAAATATTTTCATTTGTACTTCTCACGCTTTCATTAAAATATTTCACCAGAGGTTAACAATACTCAGGCCTGTATTAAAGAGACGGTTCAGGGTTAGCTTTTTATCATCTAAACATCTGCCAACTTTAAAGCTGTGTTAAAACTAAGCGGAATTTCAAGGGGTTTCTCTGGACCAATATGAAGCATCACCAGGCTGGGCAGTAACATGAAGAGGGTTTCTTCAGCTAAACTCCAACTCCTCGGCAGCTGTTTGGTATGAGGAACATGCCAACCTTTCTGAGCCTCACTTTTCCCTCATAATAAAAGTGTCACGCAGACTGTTCCCTGACTTTAGAGGGCGGTGGCTGTGGTACAAAGCAACGAAGAATACTGTGAGAACAAAGCTGAGCACCAATGTATTAGTCTAGGCACTATGTGTAGAATTACCCGCTAGGATGAAGCTCCCCACACAAGAGATGAAGCCCGAGAGGAAAGAGTTGAAAGGGAAGGTCCCCACGAGGAGACAGTAACCAAACTGCAGCGCTCCGGTCAGCAGTATGTACAGAAGATACGCGTCCAGCAACTTCAGCCGCTGCGGAGTGGTGCTCAAGTATTCTTCTAAGAACCGCGAAATGACCGACACTACTGAGGCCGACATAGCTTCAAGATGAGTAGTTCGGGTCGCTTTCCCCCAACTCCTTGAGATTCCGACGACCAAAGCGGATGTAGCGTCTGCGCACGCGCACTAACAAAATCCAACTCCGCCCTCCCCGGTAAGCCAATTTGCGCAGGCGTGGGGGGGTGTTTAGTCACGTGACAACTAATGCGCAGACGCAGACTGCATCCACAGAATGCGAACTACAACCGGAGGTAGTTAGTGCGTGTGCGCAATGGATCAGTCAATGGGCTGAAGACGTGTACCGTTTCTACCCTATTTCCGCCTTCTACTCTGGGCTAGAGATACAGTATTGTGGGAGGAAGAGCGGAAGAGGTTTAACGGCGGACTTAGTCAAATGGTTCCGGCTCTTTTTGGACCTCATACCTCTCTTAGCGGCAATGTTTGGAGATCCTGGAGTTTAGCTACAGCCTGGCCCTAATTCTGTGAAGGACTCTTATCTACAAATGCAAATCACAGATCATTACTACAAGCCAAGTTCCTACCCACTAAGTACGGAGGAGGCTTGTCACTGGGCCGGAACCAATTTAGACTTAATTATTGGGGCGGGAAAGGGACTGGAGGGAGGTTGACCCTCTAAAGGTGAGCTGGAACCCAGAATCTGGCCCCGCGGTAGAACCTAAGCCCACAGGTATTTTATTCATTCATTCAACAAACATTTATTGGGCGCCTTCTTGGTTGTGTTCAGTTGTAGAACTTTCAGGTGAATCAGATACAGTGGCTGCCCTAAAGGAAAGGGTGACTGTAAGCAGAACGTCGTTTATCGTGCATAGAGTATATGATCAAGATTAGCTCTCCATCCTGAAATTGGTGTCTTGAACTTGGTTTATTATACCAAGATGTCCGTGCTGAAAGGTCCACAAAAGCATGTCTGGTTCCGTCTCACTTTGAGATAAAGTTTTCTGAAAGGAAGGTTTGAGGCTTTTAATTTTTTTATTAGTACATATTTTCAGTACATGATTACATTCCTAGTGAGAAATTAGTACACATATATAACACCTTGATAGGTGTGAGGTTTTTTATTTTAACAAATGTGGTTAACTATTTTTAGCATTTTAACTTTTTTTAAGTCTTCCTTCTAGCTTTCGTTACCCTTGTAATTTCACATCAATCTAATTTGAAACTAGAGCCTCTTGTCAACTGGAAGTTCTTCCCTCATGTAACTACTTTCAATTCTAAATAACTTTTAAGTTATTATAGATACATGAACAAAATTCTAAAACAGTAAGAGACCAACAATACTCCAGTATTTTTACTTTTTAACTTGCATTTAGTGGAAACTTAATTAGCATCAACAAATGCATTGATTTTCAGTAATGAGCAAAGTCTTGCTTCGGTTTTAGAAGGAAATTATCTGTGTCCTTAGTTTTACAGTGTAGTTGAAGAGGTAGATTCATATTCACACAAACCCCAGAGATTTGCGCTGCTATAGTTGCACTGAATGTAAATTTAGCCTAAGCCAGCTGTTGTTGTAAAGAAAAAAGTGGATAACCAGACTGATTGCCCTACGACATAATTTGGCAAGAAGTGGAAGTTTCTCCAACAGCTGAAACTTTCTCCCTGTCTCACCAGTGAGGAGAGTATTTTCCTCACCAAGACTCAACTTCAAATGCTACAGGCTCTCCTGATGCTTTTTAATCATTCAGGAGTGAATTCCTCAAGGTTTCTATTCCATCGGTCAGGATCCTCCAACAGTTCCCCCTTATGTTTTGCTGCCTTTGATCCTTGTCTACTATCATGATTTACATCTTCACAGGAACTCCCGCAGGAGGAGAGCAGAAGAGATGGAAAACATCAAATTGACTTACTGAGTGCATCCCTTTCTAGACTGGCAAAGTCACACTAATATAATGAACTAAAACTTTTCTGGACTTCTTAAAACAACAAGAAAAGGTCTTGTTTTGTATTCAGTTGATGATCTAATAACTGATCTATCAGTGGGGAATTGCTAATGATAGTGTTGGTTTTAACTAGTATATTTCAGAACTTTAGTATTATATTTCAGAACTTCATGTCCAGAGTAGTGGATAAGAGTGCAAGCTCTAGAGTCAGACCAACATGTTATATTTGAACCTTGACTATACTGTTGACTAGTTTGCCTAATCAAAACAGGTTATTTAGTCTGACAATTTTATGTTCCTTTTCTATAAAGTGAAAATAACAATGTCTGAATTATTGAAATACTGTGAAGATTATGATAGTCTTAAGCACTTTGCCTAGTGATTGGCACACAGTAAATATTTAATAAATGTTTGGTCATTAATCACGGGTTGTGATAATTAACTACATCTCTTCCTCCATTTCTCAGAACAATTAAAACAGAGCCCCCAATATTTTAGACAAGAAAAAGCACTAAAAGAACTGCAAATCAGATGGCTCGTAGAGGGCAAGTCAGGTTATAAATTGAAACAAAAGTCAGCACACTTGTCCCTGGAGGGATCCACAGCGATCTCCCTAAAGAGGAGAAAGAGACTTCAACTTAGTCAACCCAGGAAGTTCTTGACTCATCACATAAAAATAATTTCTAGATGCCTCAGTGTAAGGCATATTGCAGATTTATTAGGCAAAGTTAGCAAGTAAAGGAGAACAGGAAAGAGACTCCAGCTTGAGTCTCCAGCTTGTTTGGGGCACACTCTTGATGCAGGGGTTCAGGCTGGGCCCACTCACAAAAACATGAGATCAGCTTTTAGGGTTTAGCAGGGTTAGGCCAAGGTCTGGTCTATCCATATCTCAGTTTGGGTGTCCATGGTTCTAGGAATTCCTTGTGGTTTGAGGGTCAGTTTGATTCCCAAAAGATTGTTATAGCCAAGATGATTTGCCTTGTTCAGGAGGGGTGCTGTCTCGGTATTTGTCATGGGGTAATTGCTCCTTCTGAGGGGAGGTGATCTTATCGGGGTGGTACACAAGGGTCTGCTTTTTCTAGAACCCTTGAATGTTTGAAGACTTCTAGGCATTGCTCCAAGGGGTTTGGAACTGGTAAAACTAGCATTTGAGTATCCCTGAAAACCTTGAAAATTACTCTTATCTTGATACCTTCAGTCTTGAAGGGGAATGAAAGAGACTAGGCAAATTTAGCAATAACAAATCCTGTAATACGCCTGCTGAATGATTATCATGTGTACATGCAGAGCTAAGCAGGAATCTGACCCACAGTTTTAAATTAATAAGGGAGACAAAATGTTGAGTTTCCTTGTCTTCTATCTCTGCTTCTAACTCAAACCTTAGAGGTTTCATTATTAAAACACTCAACATCATAAAACAGTGGAAGGGTACAAGGGCTCCTCCCTTAAGGGCAAAGTCCATTATTTTAATCATATTTCCCCATAATGAGAAATTACATTATTTACTAAAAGAAACACAAATTGTCCAAAATTTGAGCAGAACAAAATGTCTTTTAAAGAAAATCTCTGCCAGGGCTGGTGGCACACACCTGTAATCTTAGCACTCAGGAGACTGAAGCAGGAGGATTGCTGTGTGTTCAAGGCCATTGAAACATAGCAAGACTCTATCTCAAAAAAACAAAAAGAAAAAAAACAAAATGTGCAAAACAGTCACTTTTTCTAATTCTTTTCTCATATTATTTTCACTTTTCTTTAGGAGTTCTCTTTTTGCTTCTCTCTAATAGTAGTGCATGTAACAGTCCACCTTTTCAACATTGGTCTAGGTTTAACCAAAACTCTTTTCTTGTTTTCTAATAAATAAATAAAGCAGACTGCTATTTTCAAAAGGCAAATTTTAAAGGGAATTATATTACAAGCAGTACAAAGTTAAATTCTGAAAGTATCAAGTTTCGGATGCAAGTCCTACTCAAGCAGTGGGTACACTCAGTGAGCCCACATCCCTGCATCCCTACATCCTTTCAGCCCCTGATAGAATGGAACAATTCATGTCATCTTTGTCTCATTTCCCTCCCTCCTAGCTTTTTCTAGAGTCTCCTTAAAGCCCCTTGCCTCCATCACCACCCAAAAGAAAATCTGTCATATTTTCCTTTCCAAGGGTACTATTAATCCTTAGAAAATGCTTAGTAATCATTAATAACAAAGTACATTTGTGTGCTCCCTATAACAGGAAGTTGAAATCATCACTGCCTAGGAAAATCACCCTACCCAGTAGAATTTTCTTTGATGATGACAATGTCTTTGTGCTCTTTAATATAATAGCAACTGAACACATGGGGCTGCGGAGCTCTTGAAATACAGCTAGATTGACCAAGAACATTTTGATTATTTTAATTTAAAACTGAAGTAGCCACAGGCTGGAGATTTAGCTCAGTGGCACTGCTCCTACCTCAAAAGTGCAGGGTCCTGAGTTCAATCCCCAGTACCAAAAAAAAAAAAAAAAAAAA